CGTTTCAAAAGTACTGGTTTGGTACTGGTATCGGAAAAAACCTTAAAGGTCCCCCATCCCTACTCGTGCCTACTGTTATCACGCTAGTTTGCATGACTCATACCTCTGAGTGCGATAAACACCTTTGCACGCTGCTGAGGCACCAACTCCCTCGCTGATGCAAACGGTCAAACTAGCCCCGAAAAGATGATTAAGATTTCGAACGTAATGACCAACATTTTAAACAATACTCTGCTCTCATAACAGAAACAAACGAATAGTTAAACTGCCAGCAGAGAAGAAAGAAGAAAACTGCCTTTACTTGGAGCTCAGATGCATAAAGGAGTTTCTCAATTTGATAAGGCATTAAAAACACATTCATGCATAGAAAAGCTTTCTAACCAAATGAATCCGTTGAAGAAAACAATGACGCTGACCCAGAGAACCTCCTTCATTCCCTCCCTCGTTCTGTTCTTACCAGAAGTTGGCTTTGGTGAACTGCTCCATGTACAGCTGCTCATCTGTGAAGGGGGCCAGGTGGACATCTCCAATAGTGGGGAACATTTTACCTGAAACACCCGCACCGATGAAGACAGTAAGCAAAACTCGTGTTCACGTATCTTCCACCACAGTGCAAGATTCTTCTAAACTGACATCAAATGATTTGGAACACCAAAGCCTGTGGATATCTGACAACATGCAAAACTCGCCAGAAGCAGCTACTGTCACTAATCTGTGGCTGTCTGCAGGCTCAGCCTCCATTCTAACATTTCAAGTACATCTCTTGTTCTTCCGAGACTCACCATTAGGTTTGAGGAACTTCTTAGCATGCAGGTAGCTCTCCAGCATGCGCTCATTGAACAGCATGTAACCCATTGGCTCTGAAATGATGATGTCAACTTGCTCCGGCAGCGTCACCTCCTCTACTTTGCCCGGAATGACGGCCACACGCTCCCCCAGACGGTTGCTGTTCACCAGCACCTGCAGCACAACACATCAAACACATCATCATTCAAAAAGCTGGATTCAGCTTGTCTGATCTAAAGTTAATGTGGACTGTCCAGACAGCCAGAGCTCATAGCTGTTACGTTTTCAGCAACAGCGAGATTCCCACAGCTCAAACAACGTCACCTGAATTTAAAACATTTAGTATAGTGAATGGATCGTAAACAGTGAGAGGCTGTGCATCCAGTGAAAGCATAATCAGAGGTCGGTCACTGATCTCAGCATGAATCTGTGCGTGTACCTCGGCGTGCTGTGCCATGGTGCTGGCCTCTACAGCGTACACCTTCCTGGCTCCAGCTTGAGCTGCAAAGAAAGAGAGGATTCCCGAGCCACAACCCACATCCAGCACCACCTGGAGAAAAGAGGACAGACAGCACACAGTCACAGCTGGCAGGACAACACTTTAGTCTGTACTTAATGTAAACCAGCTGTTTTCAAACATCTGTCAGCCTTATCAAATAGCACATATTCAGCTCGCTACCTTGTCCTTAAAGTCAGTGTGGTTCTGGAGAATAGCCCGCTGGTAAGTCCCTGTCCGAACATAGTCCTGCATCATGTTCTGTTGCTGGGAGAGGTAGCCATAAAACTGCAGAAACACAAACACAAACACGCTCATGAGTTTGGACTTTAGCACTTTGACTTGAGCTCAATTTGCAGTTTTAAAAAAAAAAAGAGAAACAAAGTTAATCTTCTTTAAATTTCTTAAAAAAAAAAGATAGTTTGTGCTGGGATCTGTAAACAACCAAACCAAGTGGCTTCTCAACAGATGGATGCTTGCAGGTAGAAGTGCTACAGAGCCCTTTGAACTCCTCCTGGAGCTGACTTGCAGCTACTTTTAAACACAAAGTAGTTCAGATGGTGCCCAAAAAAACAGAAGCAGGCTTCATTCTGACTGAATATTCCTGTAATGAGCAGTCTATAAATACTCAGCCAGGAACAAAGTAAGCGTCATTACTGCAGTGTGTTTAAAAGGAAATGTGGATTTAAATTAGTCAGGAGATAATTCAAGAGTCACAAAATTGTGTGTGAGTGTGTGTGAGTGTGTGACAGTCACCTGGAAATACTGTACAGCAGAGGACTCCTCTGTTCTTTCACTGAAGACAGATTGCTCTCCAATATGCCCACGACAGTTCTTCAGCACGTTATAAAAAGACTGAAAGTCTGAAGCACAAACACACTGTAAGTTGGTTTTGTTGAGCTACACTGCAGTTTAATCCTTTTTCTCTTCCTGTGCTGTCGGCTGTAAACAGTTTGGTTTTCTGTCCTCTCGTGCTGGGAAACAATATTAAATCATGTGCAACAACCTCAGCTTAGGTGTAATAAATACATGATTAAGCAATTAAGTAAATCAATATCACAGTTTTAAGATTTAAGTTCGCATTTCACAAGCATAGATCATTTTTTTAAACTGCCATGTCCCACATGCTTTGGTGCATGTCTGCATTAATCATGAGTGGGTCTACCTCCTCCTCAGTGCACACAGTGTTAGCATTTTTAACACATATCATGGAAAATGCACCAATACTGATGCATCAATCACAACATTTCCTTCTTTGTCTGCTTCATTTGTGCATTTACACGACTTTCTGTTCAAGGTAAACACAGAAATCTCAATTAATCGCACGCCTCGAGGCGGCTGTTGTGATTTGACGCTATATAAATGAAATTGAATTAAATCTCAATTTATTCCCAAATAAAATAAAATGAATAAATAAACAAAAACCACTTCATTTTTTCAGCATCTGTCAGCGCGATGGCAGTGGCTGCTATTTTTCCAATGTCATCAGATTTGTGGCAGTAATGAGAAGGGGCACAGGCGCACGTGAGCATGTGTGTGTGTAAACGGTCTAGAAGAGGTCTAGAAATACATTAAATATAATCTTTGCCAACAGCACCCCGTTCATCTGAACATGTATCTGTCAGAGTACAGCCAATCACAAGCACAGATGAGTGTACTGCCTGTGGGAAAAATATGAAGCTGTTAAATCCATAAAGCAGGCTGAAAGTAACAGCTGCTGACAACGCAGCCCTGTGTGAGTGCGTGTGTGCGTGTACATGTTTAGACAGCTTTGTGAGGACAGAAAACGGGCGTGCAGCTATATTTGTGGGGACCAACAGTCACTTATGGGGACAAAATGCCTTTCCCTGTGAGTTTGAAAACATTTTTGAGGCTCAAAATGTGGTTTTAGTGTCAGAATCAGAATCAGAAAGGCTTTTATTGCCAAATGTTGAGCAGGTTTACAACAATAGGAAATTGCTGCAGTACTTAGTGCAAACATACTGTCATATAATAATATATTAAATAGACATAAAAATAAGAATTAAAAGTGCTAAGTAGATAGATATATACAGGGTTACAGTTAGGTTATGGTTACGTTTAGGCTGAGGGTTAGGATTAGGCTTTGTCTATGTACACATCTGATATGAGGTCAGCAAGGACAGTGTAGTTGTCCTGCTTTAGGATCATATATTAATGTTTACAGAAAAATATACTTGTTGTAAAACTGTTTGCAGAAAAAATAAATAAAACAGGGAATAAATTTGGGTGCAAGAATCGACACTTATTACTGATGCTCATCAGAGAAACAGACACTCGCCTACACTCCCTGCAGAGGTCTGAGGAGCTTTCCAGGAATGGTGACACAATTTTCATTTAACAGATAAACAAACACTATTTTAACTAATAACACTCAAATTACTGCACTGTTCCTGAACACACCGTTGACTCACTGCAAACTGTAAACAGTGTCCAGCAGGTAATAAAAGCAGGCTGTCATGAATATTTGACTTTGTTGTTAACAAGCTGCACCACACCCCAGAAACACAGCTCACCATCATCAGCTCCATAAACCTCCACAGACACTTTCAGAGAGTTGACATATTCTTGACTCCAAACTTGCAACGTGCAACGTGCAACGTGTAACGGTCTTACTGTGGTGGGGTGAACGGTACTTATATTGCACGTTTCTACTCTACTACAAGCTTCATTCACTTACTCACACTCACGCACTACTTCTGTTACTAAGTATTAATGCAGTGGGGACAGCTCAGGGTTCAGTATTGTGCAATAAGGACATTTCCACATGCCAACTGGAGCAGCCTGGGATCAACCTACCAACTTTCCAACTGGTAGACAACCCGCTGTGTGTTTACCTGTAGGTGAGGAGAACTGCAGCAGCACACTGTTACAGCCCAATGTGATGATGAATGACTGCTTCCCCACGCGACTGCACTCCGTCTCCCTGGAAACCGAACATTTGAACACACTCGCCTCGTCTCCTAGAAAGAAAGGGAGAGAGAACAGAAAGAGTTTATACTCATCTTTACCAAAATATAAACAAGCAGCGAGGTGATGCTGCTTAAACTCTGCTGGTGGTTAAAACCAGCGAGGGCTGAGATCACAGCATGTGAGCACCAGAGTGCTGAAGGAGGGTAGCAGAAGAAAGCACAATGACCACAGCTGATATCCCAAATGTCTGACCAGGAGGCCTGTACCACATATCATCTGGGATAATACCAATGTAGATTTTTACGCTGTATAAATAAGTCCGATATGATTGCTATAACAATGGCATATATTTATGTTCCCTACTGTGGCAATCACAGGCACGTCTGAGAGCAAGAGACACATGTCAGTCTCTGACAACTTAGGAAGGTTATGAAGGAGATGCTAGTGCCACCTAAATGTAAACAATGACTCCACCAAGTGTCTATGACATTTGTATACACCACATAAAAACAATCACAACAATAAGACAATATGTAGCACAATATGCAGACACTTGCATCTCAGGGATGATTTCAGGGACACCAATTTGTCAACCTGTGTGCAGCTCATGTTCACAAATTTGAAGGATTGTTCATCAAAAACAGGTCCAAACTAACGGGGACAATAGTCATTGTGGTGTTTAGGACAAGATTTGCTCTCTCACACCATTTAATGAAATATTCAAGAGCTGGACAGTGCTCATCCTCTCTATCGTATAAGAAGCCGACTGAAGCCAATCGAGAGGGCAGCAAAACTTCTTCTGCCACAGCTGATGAAAAGTCATCAAAGAAATAAATAAATCTTAGCACGACTCCTGATGAGTATGTACTACATGCAGCAAAGTTAATATAGCATCTTCCACCCCATGCTGTGTCACTGCTATTGCACTATCAGTAGGTTCACACTTAAAATGATTGGAAAAGGAGGATAGAAGAGACCTGGATACAGTGCAGTCTTAGGCTACGTCCACACGTACACGGGTGTTTTTGAAAACGCAGATTTTTCTATGCGTTTGCACCTTTCGTCCACACGTAAACTGCCTTTTTGGTCACTGAAAACGGA